GTGGGGGAACTTGCACAATCGGTGGCTGACTAAATACTTTTTTGCCCCACTGTACATAGAGCCAGTTGTGGGTCCTTGTAAGGAAAGCTCATGTAGACTTTTAAATGCATGTAATTTCTTTTTTGCCTGTCTATAAAATTTTGAAACAAATGGTAAAAATCAGAAGTGTAAAGTGTAAAGACTTTTCACTTTTAGTTCCATCTGGGCTCCAAATAAAAACTGCCACTACATCAAAAGAAGCTGCTTAATATTGTTTCGGTCTTCAACAATCCTCCGTGTCAAAGTAGCGTACAGATGAATGCCAGAAGCCAAGGTTTGCCAGCAGAATATTGTATGCTTCACCAGAAAGGTGTTTTAATACTGAGTTTCATCTAGTGGGATGACAGGTGCAACAAAAGAGACTGTGCAAATCAATTGTTCGCACACCTTTTTTGTGTGTATGTGTGGGGGGGAAGTATACTGAGGGTTTGGGTGGTGGTTACTTTGGCAACCTTGTTGTACTTTAGGGATAACATTCAGTGAAAATGAATATAAAAACCTTGGCATACAGTGGTCTGTATTTCTCAAAGTACGGTGATATTTAAAACCAACTCCCTTTGGTTTAGCCACATTTGTCACAAAAAGCTATTCATTAAGTTGTTTCATTAGTGCAAGCTGTGTGAACGCTTTATATACTTGAGTATTTCACCTTTTTTTTTTTTTTTTTTTTGAGTATTTCACCTACTCTAATGAGAGATTTCTCATTAAGTGCTGAGAAATGCAGTAATCTTTTAGTAGTACTGATCTATACTGCGTGGGTGTTTATACTTCTAAATTAAGCTGTCATATTTTCTTTCATATTCACCCAAACATAATTTTTTTTTACTGTTATTTTACAGGCATACTGTCACCACCTTAGTCTTTTTACTGAGATTTTTTTTTTAAACACAGATTTTGACATCTGTGTTTGATGTTTTAAACTTCGAGATGACAGGTACCTCACATTGCAGACTCAATCCTTCCCAGTGGAGCATTATTTTAACCTACCACCTTACTAGTCTTTGAGGTTTCGATGTATGTGCAGTCTACACACTGGGATTCTGCAGTATGGCATTGAGGGGAAGATGGGACAAAAGAATGAGGGAAGAATAGAGCGTTCAACTTTGGTTCTATCACTTTGGAAGTTCTGCAAAGCTTGCAGGAGAGGCTGAGTGGTTTGGAGTGATATGGACTTAACCAGCACAGAACTTAAACCCTTAGCCCACTTCTATGAAGAACTGGGTGACCAGTGTTTGAACCGACCATACTTGGTGTCACCTGGAACATTTTTCCACCCACTTCTGTTTCTGCACTGCGTCAGTGTCATAACTGTATTTTTAATGTTTACATTTCTTTCTACATTCCTTTTTTTCTTCTGTTGTCTTTTCTGATGTCGTAGTTCAGCACGCTTTCAGGAGAGTGACACAAAAGTGCTCTTTTCCCACATGCTTTACTTATCTCTTCCACTGCTGTCTTCTCTCTAGCATGGCAGCTATACCAGCCACTCATTCATTACCTACTTGTGCAATTTTTTTCATATCAAGAAGCCAGTTAGATCTGACCCATTCGCTGGGAGTCGACAGCCCTGGCCCATCACAGGAGGATTCTAGATTAGAACCCTTTTAAGGCTTGTAATTTCCTCCGGCATTTTTCCTTAAAATTTCCCTCTTATAGTCCCTTCTCACACTTAGTGTCACGAATGGCAGGACAGGCTTTAGGTGGCTTATGTAACAGTCCATTAAGTTTGCCGTAGAAATGGCCTGTATTGCCTGAGAGACTGCAGAAGACACCTAGAGATAAGTAATGTCAGAAACAGACAGCGATACGGATGGGGCCCCTTACATCTTTTATGGAACATTAGACTGAGTGAAGAGATGACCTAATTTGAATTGATTTGGCGTATATTTGTGCTCAGGAGAGCACATACAGAGACACGCAGGCACAAAGAGACACACATGCATTCACTCCCACATACACACACCGAGACACAGACGTACACACTCAATCACAGCTAATCTAGGTCTCTCTGCCTGTACGCTACCCAGCTGTAGCTGCATATCTTTGGCAAAATCTTAGATGTTTTCAGCTGAATAAGCTCCAACTTGATTACACTGCACCCCCCCCACTCCCTCAGTATGTATTAATGAGGCTGTTCCTTCTTGCTGAAATCTGCTTCCATATTGTTGTTGTGCAGTTCACGGTCCAGTGGCCACTGGCCCGCAGATGTAATTGTTTTAATTTGCTAACTGTACTCTCACTCAATTAGGAGGAAAGCAGAATTCAGTTTTATTTCCTCTTCCCAGTGCAGAATAGTAAAGTAGACATCTTCCAGAAGCAGCACTTACCGTAGCATGGACAGCCAAACACAGATGTGCATAAACAACCACAGACGTACACAAAAGGACACGAGGAATGTGCTTTTATAGTTCTTTGTTTGTGGTGTTCAAGAATGCATACTGTGTTCATTCCTAACCCTGTCTTTCTTTTCATGAGTATTTTCTGCTCTCTTGCTTTGTCAAGGTTCCTCTGTATACATGCTGTTTAATTAGAATGCTTTGGTTCTGGCCTTTGGCAGTAGGCTTCTTATTACTGCGTCATTTGTATTTGTTTGTGTGTAGCTGTACTTTTTATGGCTCACTCATTTTATTCATCACATTTACTCACTGTATTTTTTTTTTTTTAGACAAGTGGCAGCACACTTTTTTTCATTTTAGCGTGCATTCAGCTAAAATAAATTCTTTTTATTTCTTTACCAGGATACAAAGATATTTCTTGGGATATGTAGCTTTTATTCTTGAGTGCACTCACCAAGAGTTAGTGGGCTTGTGTCAAAGTTTTGCATTTCTACAATTTCTTTAAAAATGAAACTTTTATTTTTAGAGTTATTTCACAAATGTACAACCAAACCATACAAACTAAACTAAATGAACAAGTATGTGAGCCCTGGCTAGCATGCCATGTCCATATGGTCACCACAGAGCTTACTGTAATATTTTTAAAGAACTTAAATAAGCTAATGTCCCAGTGAGGATTTTCCACCTACGTAATGCAATATGGGACTAGTGTATTACTAATATCCATCCATCCATTCGCTTCCGCTTATCCCTTTCAGGGTCGCGGGGGGCGCTGGAGCCTATCCCAGCTGTCATAGGGCGAGAGTTGGATGAAGAAATTGCCATAATATCCTACACTGTGTGGAAAAATGAAGGTACTGGACACGAGTACTTTTTCACCTCTCATTTCTTTATATCTTGCTTCCAAGGAGCCAGTCTTACTTGTTAAGGTGTTCTTGAGTTGTTGTTCTCCAAGCTTTCTAATGGTATTTCAAAGTCTTTGTTTGAACATTGGCTGCTTTTTCACTCATGTTCACTCAAGTCCTTGTAAAATTTCATTTTCAGAGCAATGGATGTTTTTTAATCCACACTGACCTGCGAAGCATAAAAAAGGCCCCTAATGCAAGGCATGAGCCAGTCTGGTGTCTACTCATTACAGATAACTTAGGCAAGACCAATTTTAAAGAAGGGCCTTGTGCACAAACCCATTTGTTCCAATTTCCTTAGTTGAATATATGAAAAATGCCAAAGAAAACAGTTTGACTGGGTAGTAACTCTTTGAAAATAATGTTCTGAGTGCAAGAATGCTATTTTATGCCAAAAAATGTATCATATCTCAGCAAACTATGTAGTGTGTCCTTAAGAAACTCAGGACGCTAGTGGAAAACGAAAGAAGTGGCAAGCCTAAAAGAACTATCTGCAGCAGATTAACAATACCTGAAAGTCAAAGACCTGACATAAGATTATAAAAATAATACTGAAACAGTGTGGGATCATCTTGATAGAGAATTAATCAAAAGACAGTCAAGATCCAAAGAAGAGCTTTAAAAATTCCTTCAAGAAGCCTGAAAAACAATTCTTAAAGACCACATAGAGAAATTATAAGAAAGCCTTCCCAACTTTATGCTATATTGAGAAATAAAGGTGATCACACCAAATATTGAATTTTAATGCCAATAGAATTCTACAAGCTGTTTTTTGCCTTAACCTCCCAGGACCTGGCGTCCAAAATGTGGACATCACATTTTGGGTTATTTAAACCAAAATACTCAGTTTTGCTCTATAAAGGCCTGATATCTACTTACGAGGACATTATACTGCTACTGTTCTATTGAAATGTTAAACGAATATCCTCATATGTGGCTCTCATTTTTCTTAGAAACAAAAATCAGGTAAAAACAAACAAACTGGTAATTCTTTGTTTTTACATCCATTGGGTCCCAGTCAGCCCAAATATCGTCAGAGTCATCAACTGTAGCAGAGGTTGGACTGAGTTCTTCAAAAAGAAATGCTATTCCAGAAGCTTATAGTTAAGCTGGGTTAATATAGTGCTCTATACCTTTGATGAACTCTACAGGTGTGTTGTTAAGGTGTAGTTGAACAATTGCTTGCTAAAGGAGTTACGGGCAGTAACATTTTAAATGATTTTCCACATAAGTGGGAGAAAAGAATCATATACTTATGTTAGAAATCTTTTGAGTAGTATGCCAACAGGAAAAAAGAGGGCTTCATTTAAATCACAGTCTCAGTGAGAGTTTCAGTGGAAACCGAATCAAAAGACTCAAGAGAGACACAGGCTTTCATCTCAGCTGTTACATCTTGAGTTGGATGGGTGATCTGCCTGTGAATGTTTGACACTTTGTTAACAAAATCTGAGGAAGTCTTGCTTGGCAAAGTCTTACTAAAACCCAGCGTGTGTGTAGCAGCGGTTTTACAAGGATTATGAGGATGTTTTTCAATGAGGTCAGTGAAAAAAGATTCGACTGCAACTTTGTAGAATCGCATTAAATCTTTCCGTGTTTTCCAGTTTGTCTTGAACAGCTTTGCTTTAATTTTTTTTAAAGCAAGAAAGGTTTCGTCAATATTGAAAGCTGCAATTAAAACTGCATGCCATGAATCAACACTGTTAAATGCTTCTCTCATTGAATGAGTATGAAGGAAAAGCCCAGCTCAGTAGCATTAGCAACAACAGCTTCATTTGGAACTATGTGAAAAGGAAATGCTTTACACCACCAAAAGGGAAATGTTTAATGCCTTAAGTAGTGCCTTACACTACAAACACATTACTTCCTTGGCTTTGCTCCCTCCCAATTACCCTCTTGTCTTTGTTACCCTTTGCCCCACCTTTGTACTCTTTCCCCTTCTTCTCCCGTTTCATCTGCCTTTCTCTTTATACTCAGATTAATTGCCCTTGAATGGTTTTATAATTGAGAGACATTTATGATCTCGCTGACTGTGAAGTTGAGGCAATAATAGCCCTTGGATGTCTTGAAAATAAAGGCAGGTAGCAGAGCACCCTTTCAGCTGATGTTAATAGTTGGGGATGTGTATGGGTGTTTGATGAGTGGGCGTGTGTTTTCCCACTCACAAACATGCTGTAATTGCACATGAACTGATGAATGCACGTGGAAACTCTTTATAAGAAATCAGCACAACTTTTGACTCAAATATACTCCTCAATAACCCACCCATTCTGATACACATGGACAAGCAAACACATCAAGTACACTAGTCACTACAGAGGTGTCACATATGGAGACGTCTACTTGAAAATGCATCATTCTCTCATTAAAAGTATTTGTGAACACTCTTATGTAGGTGTTCAGAAATGAATAATTGATGATTCATTTATGAATATAAGGTTGAAGTTGAAGTTCTTTGGATTCTTGCAGTTGCTGGTTTGTTTGCATATAATTGTTTGCATATAATTATAGGCTTCTTATTTCTTTTAATTCTGGTCACAGTGACACATTTCAACCTTGAGTCTTAGTCAGACTGGAGTGCTACAGTGGGACTCAGTCGCTAATGCAGATTACTTGGGGGTGAGAACAATCAAGAGTCTGAGTTTGGCTGGGTTATGCATAGACCTTTAAGCTTACATGAGATCATCAAGCCCACTCTGGCTGGGTAGAAAAGACCAGCCAAAAATAAAATCTGAGGAAGATAACAGAAATCTGGCAAAAACAAAGTGGAGCGATATTGCTTGGAGCAGTTGCTCAACTCTTTACGAATAGAGAAGGATTCATTTTTCAAATGTATGTAAATGTTAAAGTGCTCATTTCTCCCTCCTTATTTTTTTTAAAATTGAACTCTACTAGAGTAGCTTTACATGATTGACATTAAAAAAGAATGACTGACCCTCACTCATATTAAGGATATCCCCTCACAATGACATCATGCGGAACCAATATCTAATGTAACTGGAATTTAGTTTGCAACAGTCTGAAACCTAAGAGATTACTTACACATATGGTGTGATGAACTCATTATTTGAAAGTTTGCCCAAAACTGTTTAGCATCTGCCAGTCCAATGGGTCCCCTTTTGTTACCAATTTCTTACTTTGAACAATATTAACAGATTCCTGCCTAACTGCAAAAATTCCAGAGAGTCGGCTGCTTTCTTAAGCTGTTGTTCTCTGTGATAAACACATTCGCACAGACACATAAAGCAAAGCCTTTGAAATAAACCACACTCACCATAGATTGTCTGGCCGTTTTCTTTGTTCAGGCCCTTTTTTCCATGTGTATAAAAAGTTCTTGAGTTCTTGAGTCATATTGAAGCATTTTATAGAGAGAAACCCAGCAGTGTAGGACTGTGCTTTAAGGGGTAATATTTCAGCATGGTGTCTGGGCCCTTGAGACCATCTTTAGTTTGACAGCAGCCCAGTGTTTTGTGTTAAAGACCGAAAATGTGGCGAGACACGCTTCATTTTAATAATTCTTCATTTAATGGAAAACCAAGCTTTTGCAAGGCATCCACGACCTCTTCTGAGTAAGAAGCAGTGGGAGTTAGTTGAATAAAAAAAGAAAAAAGAAAAGTGTTGTATCCACACATATTTTTCATAGCTGTTTTTCAAAAAACCAAGTGGCTTTTATATCAACCCAAAAAAGACAAATCACAAAGATTCGTGTATGTTGCATGAGCAAAATTCTCTTTTTTGTCGAGATTTAGTTGGACATAGAATACATGAACAGCCTTAATAAAAGTAGGAATGATGGGATCAATAAAGCTGGATTGCCACCATGAGGGGAATTGGCAGAGTGCTTCATTGGCTTGGGCTTTAACAGAGAAACTGAGCTAAGTAGAGACTTTCTTTACAGCCCAAGCTGTTCCAATTACTCTCTGATAGACTAGTGCTTCACTCCCAACTAACTCTTCAGATAAATACAGAAGTTTTTGCTTTGTCCAGTGTACAAAGAAGACAAATTGTTTGCAGAATGATGCATGCAATTTATCGTGGTTTATTTTTGTTTTTTTGTTTTGTAAGATTGTTCACTTATTATCTGAATAGCCATCAATAATGGAACGCAATCACTCTGGCTGACAGCAAAAATTAAAATCTCTCATGGTTGCGTTATGCATAACAAGTACAAAAGCCAGATGTTTTTATTTTACCTGGAATCTTTTGGTTGTTCATTGTTCCTAGTGAAACCTAGACTCCTTTCTAACTGAGAGAAAAAAGTGTGTTTTAATGTATTAAGGTGAAAGCCCTGCATTTTTGAAATAGATATGAATGCACAGGATAATGTGCAAGAACTTGACATTTTATGAAATGCAAGTATAAATGGACACTAATGTGTCAGATACAGTTCCATCTGACACAGGTTTGCTGGAATGGATGAACAGGAAAATATCTGATACCATTTGTCAGTGCAGCTGAATAGAGATTACATATCTAGAGCGCAACACAGAGCTCAGTTCTCTCCCTTTTCAGTAGCTGAAAATTGAACAAGTCATATTTAGAGCTATCAGTAGTTTCTAGTCATTTACTTTCTTTTCTGAGATGGTCTCTGTTATTTATCCATTCTCTCGTTTCCCTCACACATCTTTTTTTACACGCCACCGCCCTCATTTCTCCTTTTTTTTTGTCACTCTTTAGCTTTTACTTGGTCATACGCTCAAGCCATAGGGGATGATTGTTCAGTAGTATAGACTGCAGTTTGTTCTGTACTCCTTCAGTTTATAGTCTTCTTGAAAGCTGACAAGATGAAAGAACCATCTTCTCTCTTTGTATGCTCTTTAGCTCATCATCTTCTAGTTCTCTCCACCTTTTCAGCCTTCTTTGCTTCTTTTTCATTTTCAGCTATCATCCCTATGATTTTTATTCTCCCTCCCTTTTGCCAACCCCGTCCCTTTTTCTCTCTGCTAATGGAG